CAAAGCCAGCAGCCGGAGCTCTTATCAAGTATATGCCTTACAGTGGAAAGCGGGCAGGGTGCATCCTCATAGCTGCCACATCCTGTAGCAGCTGCTTGGACCTTCCTTACTACCTCTGGTTCCCACAGATTCATTCTGCTGCCCCAAAGCTATGTGGAGAAATCACTGCAGCAGCTGCCATCGCAAGAGCTGCCCCCGGATGCTCTCAAAGTTTGCGGTCTTCAGGGTATGGGAAAGGGACTCTTTTGTGCCTTCTTGGTCCCCTGGGTCCTGACTTTCTACTCATGCTCAGCATGTCACAAGTCCCTCTTGGATATTTCTATGTTGTTTCATAATCTTTTCTCCTGGGAGACTCTAAAGCAGTCCAAGGAACCTGCTGGAGGACATTCCCCAGTCCTCCCCGTCTGTCCTTTTGGTGTCTTCTCACCTTGTTTTCCCCCCTCTTGTTTTGTGTCACCTCCCACCACCACTCCATCCCTATTGAGTTATGATGTGAAAGCTCCCAAGCATATGACTGTAAAAGAACAGAAACCAGCATGAGGGATTAAATGATGGGCAGGCTGTGTGTGTGTGTGTGTGTGTGTGTTTACACTGTTGTTTCCCAAGCTGGCCGATTACCCAAATTGCCCAGGGAACTTTTTAAAAGCATGGATTCCCCAAGGGCCGTTCCTCCAGAGATTCTGATTCATTGCAGAAGTGTTGAGGGTAGTGGAGAAGAAATTTTCCGGGTGAAACATGCAGAGAAGATCAAGTCATTTTCAGGCAGAGGGTGCAGCAAGTACAGGCAGGGGGCTGTGAGGGGAACAGGGTGCTCAGGGACAGACAGCAGCCTGGAGTGGCAGGCCTCTTAGCTGAGAGGCGGGCTGGGGATTTGAATGCCATACCAAGGGTTTGGACTTGATCCCATAATGCCTGCCTTGCCTACCCCCAAAGGTCTGCTTTCATGGTCACAGCAATCAACTTGACAAAGTCCTGGTACAAAAGTGGCATTTACCACCCAAAGCTTCCAGGGCTTTCATGAAAGGCAGGTAGAGGCCTGTGTAGACAGAGCTAGCTTACTTCCTAGAAATTCGTGGGAGTTAAAATTTCAGGTAGACCTGCCCATTAATTCTTCATTTCAGTTTATACCGGCATTCAAGGGTATGGCTGTGGCCTCAAAAGAGTGTTGTGCAATGATCTGAGAAAGAAAATAGCCTGGGGCTGCTGAGATGCTGACTTCTTATTTTTCTCTCAAAGGCCGAAAAGCCAATCAGGAACACTATCACTTCAATCACATAGTTTATCTTTCTAACGGTTGCAGACGTCATCATCTCCTACGATGGAAAAATCATTGTGAAATAATGAGACAGATGCCAGAGGGACAATGCTAGGCTTGGATCCTGTGTCCATCTTGGGCAATTCAGTTGAACAGATATTTATTTTGTACTTACTTTGTGCAAGGCATTATAGATATAATACTTTAAAAAAAACTTTTGGAGCCTCAAGTTACCCACCTGCAAAATGGTAATGTTGTATTAATACCTATAGCTGGAGGTGGTGTAATATAGTGGCTATATATATATATACACATAGTGGCTATATATATAATATATGGCACACCTGCTTACAGGAGACACACGATTCCCTTGCTGGCTGACTTTGACTCTGGCTCAAGAACACTTTGAATCAAACAGATGCTCATGTTCATAGCAGCCTTACATTATACTATAAGTCTTATATTATTACAGCTGGCCTTTGGAGTCAGATCTGGATTCAAATCTAGCTCTACCACTCATTAGCAGTGTGATCTTACTTAAGTTCTTTGCCATTTCCTTAGCTGAAAAATGGGAATAAGAATAGTGTCACCCCACTTAGAATTCTCATGAGGATTAAGAGGTAATGCTTAGCACAATGTCTGGCCTATAGTAAGTGCTCCAAAATGGTTAAAAATAATGAAAGCACCTAGGCCACAGCAGAATCTCGTATTCATCCACGAAGGCAAAGACCCAGTGTACTGCGGATCAGACAGGATGTTTTTGGCTGTAACCAATGAAGAGCTAACTCAAACCAAATTAAGCTGTAAGCACACTTACGTGCTCTCATACACAATCAGTTCAGAGTTGAGAGGGCCTTCATGGTTGACTAAACCCAGTGGGCCTGAGTTTCCTGCTCCTTCTCTTGGCTTGGCCCTCCCTAGTCTAGCGGTAAAATATCTGCGGGCGTTCTGGTTGCTCCACACCCATGAACAGCCATGCCCAGAGGAAAAGAGGACTGTTTCTAGAAATCTTTTCAGAAGAGGGAGGAGGAACCACTCCCAAGTCCACGGAAAACCTTTCCTCAGGTCTCAAGAGCCCATACTGTGTCACATAATCATTCCTGATGGAATCATGGGCTAGAAGGATGGAATTATTCTTGGGCCGGTTGGGTTCATCCTAGCAGCTGGGGGTGAATTCTCCTGAGGTCAGAGCTCTCAGGGGAGGTATCTGAACAAAGTCATGGCTCCTAGGAAGGATGGAGGAGATCGATGGATGCTGGGTAGACCATCATTTTGTTGGAGACTTTTGGGGGCCATATGCTGAAAATTAAAAAGTAATGGCTCCTTGCAGTTCTGTGGCATCCAGTAATTTTCAGAGTGCTCAATTTCCGGTCATTTTTCCCGTGGAATCTTTTAGGGAAGATTTGCAGCCTACATTAGGATTATTTTGTTTCTAGAGTTTATTGTAAAACCTCAGTTTTAACAGCAGCTTCAATTTCCTTTCTCACTAAACTCTTCCGGCTACAGGGTAGATTGAAAGGGGCTGTATCCTATCAGCAAGGATGACTGGTTTAGGCAAATCCTAGCTTGATCTGAGCCTGGGTTGCTGTAGACCTGATGTTAACAACATCACAGGAAGAGATCATCACTAATATCCCCAGGGATTTTGCTGTGGCCTGGTCAAACACAGCCAAATGAGATTACAAATGGACATGAAAAAAAGATGTGTGAAGTGTCTTGCACAGTACTGGCATTCAACCGTGGTTCCTTTTGCCTTCTTCTTGGTTCCTATAAAGTAAAAACTCTTCAGGTAACCGCATAGCTTTGAAGTTAGGATATTAGACATGATCTAGCCCAGGATTTCTTAAGTCTTCGGATAGGTTTGGAAGTGGGGCCAGTGTACCCACAAAGGATCCAAATTTGTGTTGTGCACACTGTTGTACAGTTTTCAGACGAAGCTCTGTAGCTTCCAACACATTCTCAAAAGGTCTGAGACCCAAACAGGTGGACTGTAATCTTGTTTTACAGGTGAGGAAAATGAGGCTGAGACAGCATATGACTTATGTAAGGTCACATTATAAGGTGGATGGTATAGGAAGAAAAGCACTCCAGAGCAGTGATTTTCAAATGGAAATATGTAGAATTCTATGAGGTGCTTCTGTGATTTTATAAACATTAGATTCAAATTCCATGTTTAAAGTGGTAATAAAAAAGCAAAACAGAGAAATCGAATATAGACTCTGAATATAAGATTGGAACTCTTTCATAACTCTAATTAATATGAATTTTTGTTTTTCAAAACAACCTCATTGTTCTCATTGAGTTACTTTATATTCAGTAAATGTTATAAATGTGAACTCAAGAATTTATCCTGGCAAAAGACACCTTAAACCTTTTACCAATGCAGTTACCTTTGAAAAAAGGGGTTTGCTGCTGAAAGTAGGGGAAGGGGCACTGGATTCACCATTTACTAGCCAAGTAATTGGGAGACGAGGTTTGTGAGTATCACAAGATATGATATATTTTAAAAAGCTACATAAGCTAAAAGTCTATGGAACACTGGTTTCCTCCTGCTCAGGACAGTGTGTTAAGACATTTGTGGTTACAAATGCCCAATCGGGCCGGGCGCAGTGGCTCACGCCTGTAATCCCAGCACTTTGGCAGGCAGATCACCTGAGGTCAGGAGTTCGAGACCAGCCTGGCCAACATGGTGAAACCCTGTCTCTACTAAAAATACAAAAATTAGCCAGACATGGTGACAGGCGCCTGTAATCCCAGCTACTCCAGAGGCTGAGGCAGGAGAATTGCTTGAACCCAGGAGGTGGAGGCTGCAGTGAGCTGAGATTGTGCCATTGCACTTCAACCTGGGTGACAAGAGCGAGACTTCGTCTCAAAACAAACAAACAAACAAACAAATGCCCAATCAACTCTCTTTTCATAATGAACTCTGGCTGAATCAGATGGCCCAAAACAAAACTTTAAGTTTAGGGCCTGCTTAGGTGTGAATGTAAACGAACTTCGATAGTCTTGGGAAAAGTTGTGATCTATCTACAAAATGGTGTGGTGGTGTGTGGATGGGGGCACTAGAGGCAGGCAGCGTCACACGAATTTACACTGATACACTTCACACATCTTTGGCATTAGACAGATCTGGGTTTGAATTCCATCTCTCTTCCTTTCCAACCATGTGACTTTGGTTGTTTTAACCTTTGAGCCTCAGTGTCCTCATCTACAAAATGGTGATAATAAAGTGTCTATCAAGCTATTGTGGGATAAAATGATAGAATGTACGTACACGTATTTGTGCACAGAGCTAAGTGACTGGTGCTCCCAAATGGTAGCCACTAATTCAAGACAGTTCTTCAAAGGTCAGATGTTGCAGGTAAAACACATTGGTTTTTTATCACTTTCTTTCTTTTTAAGTAAAGGTTATGTCTATGTGATTAACTGGATGACAGCAAGAAGTGGGTTCCTGTCCCATTTGGAGGAAGGCAAAAGGAAACGAAGCCAGTTAAAGCTTTGTGGTAGTGGGGGGTGTGCGTGGATCTCTAACTCCCCAGGGAAAATGTGTGGGCTGGTGCACCAGAGGGTGCCTGAACCTGGGAGACAGCAGATGCCCACAGCAGCCTGTCCCCTTCCCCTGGCCCACAAAGCACACGAAGAAGCCAACCAGCCCGCTCAGAAGCGGAAGATCTAACGTACTACTTCTGCAAATGGAAATCCACATACACTCAATGCAGAACGAAACAGACTCTCACCCCAAAAATATTAGTGAAAGTGCATACACTTTATTATGTACATTGTTGGAAAGGCAGGCCACCTGGAAAAACTCCTGCACTGGCACTGTGTTCCTAGAGCTCCTCCCATGCGTCCCTCCCAAGTGATTTAACTTCAACCTATTGGACTATGAATTCACAAGGCAGAAAAGTCAAGGTCATTTGCTATATGGAGACAGGAGAACTCAAGGATCCAAAAGCACTGTTACTCTTAAGTCACAGAAAAGATTTCTAGCCAGGATATGGAGCCTCCTGGTCCTCAAGGGTAAGCCACCTCACACAACGGATAAAACCATCATTTTAAAATTCAAAATATAAGTGCAACTTGAGTTTAAGTTGCACTGCTCCATACCTCTAATAAACTCAGCTAGGAGCCAGGATACATGGTAGTTCAAGGCTTCCTAAAATAAACTTGAAATTGGGGTACAGGGGAAGGGACATCCATTGGCTGGATGGACACAGTGGTTCAGCTAAGGATAGCTATAAAGGCTCGTGCTGGGAAAGAAAGCTGTTATTCTTAGACTTCTCTAGGTGAACTCAGAGTCTCAAAGAGGAAATGTTACAAATGTCACCTGCCAGCTTTCTTGCCAGTAAATAGAATGCCAGGTTGCTCAGATTCATAGACATTTGCAAAACAGAAGATGTCTCCTAATATTATAGACTAAGAAATTGCTGTCCAGAGAAGCTGACCAGTTCCTCTTTCAGCATCAATATACATGATAGAAGAATGACTAGGTAAGTTTAAAAAGATCTACGTCTATATAGGTATCGTAAAGTTTGACAGTATCTGCCCAAGATAATTAGACATTATATAGTCAATACATTGTGAATTCCTTATGTAATGAATGGGTTTGTAATCAAGATATTTCACAGTGTACCACAGTTAACAGCATGCAGATAGTAAAATATAATGGTTTCCTGAAGTTATCTCTTAAAAAAGTATTTTAGTCCTTAAGCTATTCAAATGGATGTATAACAATTGCATATAGAATGTAGAGAAAATTTTATTACAAAATTAAAACTATTTAAAACCTGATATATGAAAATAGGCAACAGTGAGAAAAAAGCACTTTTGTGACAAATATTTGGCTAGTTTGAAAGGCAGAACACAGAGGAATCATTTACTCACGAAGAAGGCTCAAAGAAGTTAAAACATGGATGTATTTTTAAAATGACCACTATAGTAGTGAATTTAAAAGTCTTTGAAGGGTTAGAGTAATCTTTTTCATTAGTCTTGACTATTGCTGGTTCTGACAAGTACAGGCAAGAAATGGCTACTCTCAAATAAGGATTATTCTGAAACATGGTCTGGATTTAGAAAATAAGTGAACATTAGGGGAATTTTCTTAATTAAGACTCTGCGACGGGCGCGGTAGCTCATGCCTGTAATCCCAGCACTTTGAGAGGCAGAGGTGGGTGATCACCCGAGGTTAGGAGTTCGTGACTAGTCTGATCAACATGGTGAAACCCCATCTCTACTAAAAAAAAAAAAAAAAAAAATACAAAAATTAGCTGGGCGTGGTGGCATGAGCCTGTAATCCCAGCTACTGGAAAGGCTGAGGCAGGAGAATCTCCTGAACCTGGGAGGTGGAGGTTGCAGTGAGCTGAGATCATGCTATTGCACACCAGCCTGTGCAACAAGAGTGAAACTTCATCTCAAAAAAAAAAAAAAAGAAAGAAAAAAAAAAGACTCTCCGGCTCCGGAGTAAGGCACATTTGACCTAGAGAAGCTGGCTGTGGTGTAAGGTCATCCCTTTCTGCAAAGCATTTATCCAGTCAGCAGTGTCAGGTGGCAGTTACAGCCCAGGTTGCCTCTGGCCTGGGTGCTTAGGGGGTTCAGAATGAGTCAGTGGAAGTAAAAACAAGAGGGATCTAACCTACTACATAATAATCTAAACATACAAACTTTTAACTATTTTAAGACTAACAGATTACCTTCTATAATCACCAATCTCTCAGTATTTACAAGCTAACAATTCTTTCACCTATTTTTATAACTGCTATGCATTCTGGGAACACCACAATTGACATATGGAAAAGGAAAAGCCCTACCCTCTTTTTAAGAGTTAAAGGCTAATTTGGTCCCCCACTTCATCCTTGGAAGGGTAGCGCTCATTTCTATGCTAGCCTAGATGGCCGTGTTTTGCCCCTATGATTCCTTGCAGCATATCTATGGGCAGAGGGAAGACAATTGTTGAGTTTTTCTCAGCAGCAATGGTGGTCAGTGTCTGCAGGTACCGGAGCTGAAGGGCTGCAGGAGATTCAGTGATGACCATGGAGGCTTCTTTCAGAGCCCTGGATGCATTCATTTCTCCTTCGGCTGCAATAACCTGTGGAGAGGTGAAAGGAGAGGTTGAACTGGAGAAAACCACATGGTGACACGCAGCACTCTTTAACCTGGGGTACGTATACCTCAGGTGGTCCACAAAACTTTCCAGGGTGTATGCCAGAAGAGTTTTAAGGAAATCAGTTTCTACATACTCAGTTTCCATACGCTTCTTTTTCTAAAACTGACTTGCCTGAGTAGTGCCTGGATCAAGACATTCTCTTTTTTTATTTTATTTTTATTTTTTGAGATGGAGTCTCACTCTGTCGCCCAGGCTGGAGTGCAGTGGCAAAATCTTGGCTCACTGCAAGCTCCGATTGCCGGGTTCACACCATTCTCCTGCAACAGCCTCCCAAGTAGCTGGGACTACAGGTGCCTGCCACCTCGCCCGGCTAATTTTTTGTATTTTTAGTAGAGACGGGGTTTCACCGTGTTGGTCAGGATGGTCTCGATCTCCTGACCTGGTGATCCGCCTGCCTCGGACTCCCAAAGTGCTAGGATTACAAGCGTGAGCCACCACGCCCAGCCAAGACATACTCTTTTAGTACAGCCTTTCTCCCATTTTCCAGGGTAACAAACAAAGGGATAATTCAAAAGACTGAGCAGGATTGAGAAAGCAAGTAACTTTAATGACTGCATGCAAATCCTTTTGCAAGTCAGGAGGATTTCCAATTCTCTGATGAGTACCTTACTAAACTGAAAGCTGACAGGTCGTTATAAATATTTTTTGATGAAAGACTGTGATGTGATTTTTTTAGCACATAAATTCAAAGGGAGTGCTAGGAACTGTATGATACTACTTTAAACAAAACTTCCATTTCCATCTACTTATTTATGTAAATAAGGTTTCAAAGTCCTTATAACTATAAAAATGAAAAATAGGAATAAAACTGATGCTGAATCCTGTCTCACTCTAGCATTAAACAACAGCCATCTATACATGTACGATTTAATTCTCATTCGTCTTATGAAGACAAGCATTTCTAGTAAACATCGACTTCTTGTACTGGGTGCAGTGGCTCACACCTATAATCCCAAAACTTTGGGAGGCCAAGGTGGGCAGATCACTTGAGGTCAGGAGTTCAAGACCAGCCTGGCCAACATGGCAAAACCCCGTCTCCACTAAAAGTACAAAAATTAGCCAGGCATTGTGGCAAGCACCTGTAAATCCAGCTACCTGGGAGGCTGAGACAGGCGAATTGCTTGAACCCGGGAGGTTGCAGTGAGCCAAGATCATGCCACTGCACTCCAGCTTGGGTGACAGAATGAGACTCTGTCTCAAAAAAAAAAAAAAAAAAAATTGACTTCTTATTTAGGAGAAATTCTGAAATGTTTGTAGAACCTTGTTTTTAGTTACAGGAAATTTTTAAAAATTAATTCTAATTTATGGACTAAATGTGTTGCAGTAGGTTAATAAAATAATTCATGACAAAATATACGTTAGGAAAAGAATCTGGGGGAAGTGAAGGTGCAATAAAAAACTTAGGTTTAAGAAGAAGAAGAAAAAAAAAAACAATAAAAAGCTCCTGACCGTTAAGAGTTTACTTACATATTTTTAATGGATAACTACATCATTATTATTTCTCATTGGGTACATTTAAAAAGAATGATGTTAACAGTTTTATTTTAAAATGTCAATATTTAGGCCGGGCGCGGTGGCTCAAGCCTGTAATCCCAGCACTTTGGGAGGCCGAGATGGGCGGATCACGAGGTCAGGAGATCGAGACCATCCTGGCTAACACGGTGAAACCCCATCTCTACTAAAAAATACAAAAAAATAGCCGGGCGAGGTGGTGGGCGCCTGTAGTCCCAGCTACTCGGGAGGCTGAGGCAGGAGAATGGCATAAACCCAGGAGGCGGAGCTTGCAGTGAGCTGAGATCCGGCCACTGCACTCCAGCCTGGGTGACAGAGCCAGACTCCGTCTCAAAAAAAATAAAAATAAAAATAAAAATAAAAATAAAATGTCAATATTTACAACATGCCATGAATTATATTCTTGGCAAGTACATAAATTCAAGATGAAAATTTTTACATGCCAATTTAAAATGTTTGATGGGCTTTACAGTTTTTCTAAATTCTGTAAGGGGTTTCACAGGCAAAAAAGTTTGAAGATCACTCGAGCAGTGGAGAGAACAGGAGCTCTGGAGCCAAATGGACTTGAGTTCAAATCCCAAATCTAACATTTACCAGCCGAATGTCCTCAGAGAGGTTACTGAACATCCTGAACCTCAGTTTCCCATTCTTAAAGCAGACTAACATGGACTTCAGAGGACCACTTGTGAGAAAGACAGAGAAAGTATATAAAGTGTTACATGAATAAAGGGGGTTATTACAGAGGAATGGCAAGACCTGATTTTCGGGTCCAACTGTGCTTTAATGCACAAAAGATTCAAGGTAGTTACTTTAATTCATAATCCTAGGAGAAGGAAAGGTATTAAGATACCATAATTATCAAGATTTAAAGTACAGTTTCTCCAGGTTATTATCCTCACTTGAATCTTGAAAAATTAGTGGTCCATAATACTCCATGAATAGCAGAATTGGAGGCAATGGTCTTATGCCCAGTGAAATTTCATTCACTTACACAGCAAAATTTGGGGGCCTTAAGCCCTGTGTAGGAGAAGCTAGGGATAGAGTGGAATCCCTAGCCTTCTTCAGCTCCTGGTCAGGTGGGGAAGGCAGACATGGAAGTAGATCATTCCATTCTGGTGTGATAAATGCTGACAGATATATGTACAAGGCACAGTGCTAGCACACAGAAGAAACTTTTCCAGAGGGTGACGTGGTGAGGTTATAGAAGTTGAATATTAAATGATAAAATGTTTGCTGTTTAGAAAAAGATGAGGAAGAATATTTTAGGCAGAACACATGAAATGGTAATGAGGTATAAAAATGGTGTATTCCAGAAAACTGTCAATGGCTGAATGCTATGGCAGGAAGAGGGGAAAGGTGAGGGATGAATGGGGCCGGGTTCTGAAGGGCAGTGACGGGCCAGGGTGTTTGGTCTTCATTCTGTAGGCAATGGGAAACTGCAGAACGATTTTAAGCAGATAAGTAACCTCCATCAGATCTAGTTTGAAAAAACTCTCTGATGGATGTCTGAGGTTAGAAGAGAAGGCAGTGAAAGCTGCTAGTGGAACCGCCTTAGAGTGGGTGGTGTGATTCACAGGTGGTGGGGACACGGAATGAAATGGTTTGGGGAGCTATTCTGCCTCCCCGAAGGAGGGCGAATCAATGGGATTTGGAAACTAGGTAGGAGGAGGAAAGGGGGACAGAGACTGAGACCCAGGTTTCTAGGTTTTGGTTGCATAGGTCAGTGCCATTAATGGAGATAGGATACAGAATACGGTACTCACTGAGAGAAAGCATCTAGTTTATAGGGTAAAAACCTAATTTATCAAAGCCACCCATCACGTCCTGCAGGAACAAGGGTCAGCTCTGCTCAAAGAAAACCACAGAACTGTATTCCAAGGTAGGCACTAGAGAGAATACATCAGAAATCCCCTGCTATGACAGCAGTAGGCTCTGATTTTTTCCATATCATCTCAGATGTCCAATTAGGCACTTTTTTCTTTGGACATGGACCAGCTGAAAAGATACCTCATTTCCCACCACCAATCAATACATAATTGCTTGGCTGAGAAGCCAGACCCAACGGGCTGGGCATACATTTTGTTCATAGAAAAGCCACACTGAGCAAGCTGCCAAAGATGTAAACAACACCACCGGCTTTGTCTAAATACAGGCCAAGTACACTCTGTTGATAGGATCTTAGAGAGCAAAGCAAGCTATTGTGGGTGTGCACAGCTTTTGTCCAATGTGTAGCAATCTCATAGCAATCAACATTTTATATTTACAGAATATCATTTTAAAGTCTGGCCTTTTCATGTATGTGAAATTGGTGCTACCTGTCCCTTCTGTAGACCAGGTGGTCTGGGCAGAGGAAAGGGCAGAGAAAGGTGATCTGTATTTCTGCACTCCACCCTCTCAATTGATAGACTTCTACACCCAGAAACATGAGCCCAAAAGCATGTGCCAGGTGTTTTTCTGAGAGTTATGAAAAGGAAACAAAAGATGATGCAAACACAAAAGGGATTACATTTCAAGCCACTAAAAGCTAGTCTAAACACTTTAAAAACCAAACCTAACATACAGAGAAACACATGGGAGAATCTGTCCTCTTCTGTGACTGGTTTCTTTCACTCAAATTATATGTGTGAGCACTTACATTCATTCTCTTTGCTACGTAGTATGCCTACGTGTGAATAAACCAGACTTCATCCATTCAGCTAGGAATGGACATTTGGGTATTCTATAGTTCGGCTCAATGTGCTGGTGTGAACATTCTAGTACATGCCTTGGTAAACATATGAGTGCATTTCTGTCAGATTCATAGTTAGGAGTTGGAGCTGCTGGCTCATAGCGTATACAAATGTTCAGTTTGAATAGACGTTGCCAGACTGTTTTCCAAAGTGGTTGTATTAAGTTACACTGCCACCAGCAGAATATGAGAGTTCAAGTTCCTCTCTCACCCACACTGGGTTCTTTTCCGTTCTTTTCAGGCCATTCTGATAGCTGTCTAGTGTGACATCTGCTTATAATGTGAATTTGCATTTCCCAGACGGCTAATGAACCTAAGGAATTTTTCTGTAAAGTCTCTTAATCTTTAGTTTCTTCCACTCTATCTCACCTTTCCTGTGCAATTTATTTGTTGAAGAAACTGTGACCGCCCCATTTTCCATGAGAATTTCAAGACAATAAGCCTACAGTTGTTGCAGGGTTACTGTGTTTTACAGAAGGGCTAGGCTCATTGTGATTCTATGTGTGAACTCCAAGGCAGTCGCTGCCCGGGTTCATGAGCCTGCTTCTAGACTAACCCTACAGCCCTGTCCAAATGGGAGTATGGCAATTCACAATTCTAAGTGGTTTCTTCTCTCTTTTCTTACTGTTATAAAGGGAAGATAGAAACTTTCTTTCCAAACTCTTAAGAATGCTATGGAAAAGGCTCAGAGCCCATCCTGGGAAGTCAGTCCTAGAGGAGGCAGTGAGGAACAGAGGGGAGTTCTAATTTCCACTGCCACTAATCAACTGTGTGACCTTGCGGATGTCACTTATCTTTTCTGGGCTTCAATTTTTCCTTTGAATAGTGGAATGGCAAACAAGTTTCATTTTTTTTAACGTTTTTATTATTTAATTTTTAATTTAATTTAATTTTTTTGAGGAGTCTTGCTCTATCACCCAGGCTAAAGTGCAGTGGCACAATCTCAGCTCACTGCAACCTCCACCCCCAGGGTTCAAGCAATTCTCCTGTCTCAGCCTCCCAAGCAGCTGGGATTACAGGTGCCTGCCACCACGCCGGGCTACTTTTTGTATTTTTAGTAAAGACGGGGTTTCATCACGTTGGCCAGGCTGGTCTTGAACTCCTCACCCCAGGTGATCTACCCACCTCAGCCTCCCAAAGTGCTGGGATTATAGATGTGAGCTCGGCCTCAAGTTTTGTTTTTTAGAGCTAACTCTAAGCAGTTGAGGGTTGTTACCTGGAGTGCTGTAGAAGGGTTCTGAGGCCAAGTCTAAGCTCAGTGGAAAACAGTGCCATGGTTAATTACTAGCATGGGAATAGCAGGATGGAGTGGTAGCATCTGGGCTAGGTATTTGCCACCTATGGAAGATAACCTCTGAGGATCCTTTGGGCTCTGACATTCTATATAGTATACGTATGGTACATTCTACTATTCAATCTGGTTTGGAAATGAGGCTTTTGGCTAATAACATATTCTAGTTAAAAGCAATTCCTAATTTTCAAAACAATTAGATGATAGGGCACATTTAATAACATCGTAAACATAATTTAATCTTCTAAATGTAATGGTTTTGAAAGAAGGCACTTGAGGGTTCTGCAGTACTATCAGGTTATCATCACAAAGCAACAATGATCCTATTAGGCAAACCTAAACATTCTGGTTAATAGAAAATTCTGAAGTCACACGTCAAATGAGCTACTATCCTATTTGATGTTGGCTAAGAAATTATAGTGACCAGTTTGTGGCTTAAAGGGCATCCTAAGAAAAGAACAGGGTTCTGTGGTCAGCCAGTTACCACCAGCTACTACTATTTTCTAACAAATTGGTTTTATAACAAATAACAAATTGGTTTGCTCCGTGTGTCTTGGGAGATTTGTCAAGTCCACAGCAACTCCTCCTATGAAAACTGCTTCTCTTCTTCAGCCCATTCACAGGCATAGGGCTGTGAAACCATATTATTATGCTATCTTTGCACTTTGACCATAGTTGGACCAAAAAGAATCTCTCTTCTGTGAATGTGGAATTAGGGCTGGTCTGTGTTCTTTAGTGTTCACCTGGCAGACACGTAAACCTGGGAGCTAGACATTCTCTATCACAAGCTATCTACAGTGACATGTAGCACAGGAAAGGGAATGACTAGTTCCCTGAACTGCCTTCTGGTTCCTGTTTTGGTGAGACTTGCCCCTACTTCCTACCCTTGGGTTTGGTGAGATATCCCTGAACTTTTACACATTATCATCTTTAAAGATACTCTTTTCTAGGTTAGATTAACAAATATTTCCTCAGTGCCTGCCAGAGGGGCCATGCCCCCCATGCAGGGCTAAGACATTGGCAGATGATGATGAAAAGAAGGAAGAAAAAAGGCAGATGTCAAAGTAAGAGAACATAAACAAGAGGAAAAGAGAGAATGAGGAATAGGAAACAGTAAAAGGGAAAAAGATCCAGAGAAAAGAAAAAGAACAAAAAAGAAGCCAAAAATAAGTAAGAGATGGGTGGTATGGATGGAATGATGACCCACTTGCTCCAAAGCTGGAATTGTTAATTTATCCTTAATAATGAATTGGGAGAATAAAGTATGGTACACACAGTCATAAAAGAATGAGGTAAGTCTATATGTACTGATATGCCCACAGATATTGATATTAAATGAAAAAAGCAGAGCACAGAACAACATGTGTAGTATAACCCTACTTTTGTAAAACAAACAAGCCAGTAATCCAAAAACCTGGTCAAATAAAATCCAAATACACTCAACCGTTAAGAGTGGTGACCTCTGGGGGAATATGACTTGAAGTTACGGGGAGGGCTTTCACTTCTACTAACTTTACCACTTCCTGATTATTTCAATCTTTTACAGCAAACATGTTTCACTTTTTTATAATTATTAATAAAAGAGAAAACTCAGTAAGACAAACAAGTTTTAAGAAAATGTTACCTTGGCGCGGGCCTCACGGGACGCTTCTGCTTCTGCAGCCATAGCTCTCTGGAGCTGCACAGGTAGTTTCACATCCTTGATTTCCACACGCTCCACCTTTATTCCCCAGGCATCAGTGGCATCATCCAGAGTAGACTGTTAGGAAGAGAGAAGACAAGCTAAATCTGCTCAGCCCAGATGCCGACAGAGGCTGTATTCAGTGGGATTCGGAGGAGATAAGGTGCTGGGGAGAGTAGTGGAAAGAATGGTGATGCAGGGGCTGGCTCACTGATCCTGATTCTGTTGCTTGCAAGCTAATGCAGGGGTTAGCAAGCTTCTTCTAAAAGGGCCATATAGTGATTGTTTATTTGTAGTCTCTGTCTCAACTATTTAACCCAGCTGTTGTAGTCAAAAGCAGCCACGGATAATATATAAATAAATGGCTGTGGCTATACTCCAGTCAAACTTTACTTACAAAAACTACAGCCTGTAGGCTACAGTCTGCCAACTCCTGAGCTAATGTGACTCTGTGTAAGCCATATTACTCCTTTGTGCTTCAACTTCCTCCCTTTAGAATGTCACGCGAATGAAACCACACATCTATTTCATAGGTTGTTGTGGATATCAAATACGATCATAGATTTTACCCACAACGAAGTATATACAAATAACAAGAATCCAGACTTACAGCACTCTGTCTTTTCTGAACAAGCTATGCTTAACTGAATATCTGTAACTCAAGAAAGACTGGAAAGCACAACAGTTATCATTCATGGGACTCACACACAGAATAAAGCTTTAGGAATACCTACACTATCTTGTAGAATAGCTTCTGTTCTAAACAAAAAGGTTATTATTGATTCTGGAAAAAAATACACACTGAAGAAAATTTTTAAAAAATGTACGCACGAGTGTTATTAACTCATGAACTGCTAATGTGAAAAATCTCCCCTCCCACCAAATTTTAAAAATTTTACGATGAAGGAAAATAAAAGGCCACAGACTCCCCACAATTTGAATTAATAAAAGGTTCTCAAAAAACCATTATTGACCCTTTGCTTCATTTTTCAACTTTTGGGAGGTAACAGCATCGACGCACTCCCCACCTGCATGTTGTGTGCGATTTCTTCTCTGTCAGAGAGGATCTGAGAAAGGTTCTTGGTGCCCAGAACATTCCTCAGAGTAGTTTGTGCCAAAAGACGGGTGGCTGAGTCAGCATTGGTGATATTTGCTACAGCCAGGGTTGCATTCTGAACGCGGTAATAGACCACACCATCCACGCTAATTGTCACTGAATCCTTAGTGAGGATCTACAAGATGAAGGAAGCAATTTTACATCTGTCAATGGTTTTTTTTTTTTTTTTTTTAACATAACTGCAAGGAATGTTATTCTACAGAATATTTATAATACTAGCTGATTTTCTTTAGTAAGACATCAGAAAGTTAATTATATCTTTTAAAATTTAATAAAATAAATGTATTTATTCAAGTCCATTAATTCATTCAATCATACAAATAATATTGAGATATCACTCAACAGCAGGCACTGTACTAGGTACCAGGGATTAAGGTAGGAAAAAAACTTGGTTCCTACTTTGAAGGAGGTTAGGGAATCAAAGGAAGCTTTTAGGGGCAGCTGTGAATAGCAGGGGTGATACTGAATTGAATCTTGAAGAAAGGAATACAATTTTTCTGGGGTGTTGGGTGGAGTGGAAGAACACTCAAGAGAGAGGCACTAGAGAGTCAAGGGTTGATAAACTACAAGTTGCAAAATATTACCCGAACAAAAAGTGCAAGAGGAATGTTTTTAAAGGGCAAGGTCAGCACAAAAACATATTTTACAGCGTGCTACATAAAAATGCTAAACACGACATAATTTTGTTTTAAGCTAAAAAGTTATCTGAGTAAGAGGCTCCAGGAAAACAGTTACATCAATCACTTAAACTTACTGAGACTCAGTTATCTTATTTGTAAAGTAGAGATTAATTATAGTACCTACTTTGCATTGTTGCTAGAATTAGTGCGCTAAATACATTCAAGTGCTCAGAAAAGTTCCTGGCACATAAAAGCTGTCTTATTATTTCATCTTGGATAACGGTGGTAACTTTACCGAATAAAACCTTAACTTGATTAACTGTAATAAGTTAATTTAGACAATAAATAAGCCAGCTGGGCATGATGGCATGCACCTGTAGTTCCAGCTACTCAGGAGGCTGAGGCAGGAAGAGTGCTCCAGCCTGGGAATTCCAGCCTCTCTCACGGACAACATCAGGCTGGCACCTTTCTACTGATCATTTAAATGTCCTTCTCTCTGTGAAACTTTCTTGACTTACTTGGCAGAGTTAAGCACTCTTCCCTTGCACTTCCACTGCACCTTACTGTAGTGACATTATTTATTCACATTTCTACTTCTCTGAGTATGAATTTCTTAAGGGCAATTCTTGGTAACTCTAGCACTGACCGTGTGTTTGAAACATAGTGGGTAGTCAATAAATGAGAGATGAACTGAACTGAAATGTGGTCCTGAGAACAGTGAATGATGAGGAACAAAGGAGTGAGAGTTAGGAGACCTGAACTGTAGTTCCAGCTCTGCCTTCAGGTCCCTGGATGTCCTCTAGCAAGGCTTTTAACAGATTTGACCTACAGATTCCTCATTTGTGAGATGGCACTAATAATCCTGCCTAATTCTACTCAAATTTCTGTGAAGATGAAATAAGAACATACTTGTGAATGAAGCCCTTTTGAAAGAGTAAACAGCTATGTAAATGGAAGGTAATAACAACAATGTTGTTAGATGGCTGTTTAGCCCTGCCAGACATCAAAGCAGTGATCCTTTTTTAGTAATCTCAAAATACTTCTAACACGGAAGAGAAGTGGAGGATTTATAAATAAATGTACAGTGTATTACCATCTTGTATGAAAACTAATTATTTCCCATGACATGATGGGAAAATGTGTCAATTCCAAATTCTTGCCACTTTGACTTTGCTACAGCTTCTTTCTAAAGCTACAGCTTCTCTGCCTCCTGTTTATCATCGGCAAGGGTTTATCTCCCTTTACAGAAACTTCACAGGGGAATCAGAAAAAGGATTGCTTGCCAAGTTCTAATCTGCTTTGCATTCAGCAGCTTGCAGAAGAGGAAAGAGCCACTGGAAAGCAAAAGCTTAAACAGCAACTCTGCCAGATGTCTGTAACGTTTATAGTGGAAAATGCCAGAATGCCCAGCTACCCTGAAAGCGGCTCCTTCTGAGACTCGATCTTCCCTAGACGATGGGAAAACATACAGAGAATACGGTGATACTCTAAGTCTTGTTCTTATGAGTAAAATGTGGGCAAAATCACTTCTGGCATCACTAACTTTGGATGGATTATAAAGTCTGACGTCACCCACTTCTTGGATCAGTACCAACAAGGAAGTTCCTAGGCTGGTTTCTGGTATTTGTGACATGAGAAGGCAACATGGCCAGGCTCCATCACCATGCTGAGTATCTGGCCTTTGGCCAGGAAACACTGACAGCATTCTTCTGTCCTTCCCACTTCATGATGTTTTTAGGTTTTCTGTATGCAACGGTTATTATGCCTCCTAAGGACATGGCTGCCAGGATGGCTATCACTTTTTCAGGGGCTGTAAGGGAGCTCATGTACAAGGCATTCAGCATGGAGCTGTGGAAAGAGCAGCACTATACAGGGAATCTGCAGAGCTCAATTTTGGTCTTGGCTCTGCCACTGTAATTTAGAGGAATTCCTTTGTTTCACTGCAACTATATACTTTCTAGGGATTCTGCCGTGAGTTTCATCTATGATAATATTTGTGAAGTAGTTTGAAAAGGCACAAAATAATCACTAGTATAAAATATTATGTTTTATCTAAAATGCCCAACAAGCAGTTTCTAATTCTTTGGTTTCTAACCAATTTATCTAGAATAAAACCTTAAGAAGAAAAAAATATTATACTAAATAGGGTTTTCTATGAGAAACCCATAGAAGAGAAACGTGGTAATAAAAATGGTGATAGTAATAACAATGATGATATTATTATACTTCCATTAGCATTACACTATATTTTCTAACAATCATCCCTCGGGAGCTGTGGGAGATTGATTCTAGGACTCCCAGAGGATACCAAAATCCAAGATGTTCAAGTCACTTATATACAGTGGCACAATATTCACATACAATTTATGCACATCCTCCTTTATACATTAAATCCTTTCTAGAGTACTTATAATACTTAACACAATATAAATACTATGTAAATAGTTGCTATACTATACTGGTTTTTAAAATTTGTATTATTGTATCATTGTCTATTGCTTTTTTCCCAAAATATTTTTGATTCATGGAGCCAACCATATAATCTATGTACATTTTCCTGTATACTTTAAATCATCTGTAGATTACTTATATTATCTAACACAATACCTACACATCACTTCATTCATGTGGATTCAGTGCCATACTTGTTGTATAATAAATTCAAATTTTGCTTTTTGGATCTTTGTGGAGTTTTTTTCCTAATCTTTTCAGTCTGTGGTTGGCCGAATCCCTATATGCAAAACCTATGCACGCAAAGGGCCAACTGTAATACTAACAGTAAGAACTTATACAGCACTTACTATTTATCCATCATTGCTCTAAGCATTTCTCAGAACCACCCTATACAGTAGTTCTTACTATTACAATCTCTATTTTCTGGATGAGGAAACTGAAGCACAGATAAGTTAAAGGACTTGCTTAAGGTCACTGAGCTAGAAATGCTGAAGGCAGTCAAGATCTAAAGCCTATTCTCTAGCCAGGCACGGTGGCTCACGCCTGTAATCCCAGCACTTTAGGAAGCCAGGGCAGATCACCTGAGGTCAGGAGTTTGAGATCAGCCTGGCCAACATGGCAAAACCCCGTCTCTACCAAAAATAGAAAAAAAGTAGCTGGGCGTGGTGGTGCATGTCTATAGTCTGTTACTTGGGAGGCTGAGGCATGAGAATCACTTGAACCCAGGCGGCGGAGGTTGCAGTGAGCCAAGATCACACTACTGCACTCCAGCCTGGGCAACAGAACAAGACTCTATCTCAATTTTAAAAAAAAAATTAAACTGAATAAAGCCTATGTTCTAACTATGCTGTCCCTCATTGTAAAGCACTTTCATGCCGGGCGCGGTGGCTCAAGCCTGTAATCCCAGCACTTTGGGAGGCCGAGACGGGCGGATCACGAGGTCAGGAGATCGAGACCATCCTGGCTAACACGGTGAAACCCCGTCTCTACTAAAAATACAAAAAATTATTAGCCAGGTGCGGTGGCGGTGCCTGTAGTCCCAGCTACTCGGGAGGCTGAGGCAGGAGAATGGCGTGAACCCGGGAGGCAGAGCTTGCAGTGAGCTGAGATCCGGCCACTGCACTACAGCCTGGGCGACAGAGCAAGACTCCGTCTTAAAAAAAAAAAAAGCACTTTCACATGTGATATCTCAGTTAGTCAAAGAAAACCTTACCTCCTGAGGAGGAATATCAAATGAAATAGTTCTCATGTCCACTTTGATGAAGCTGTCAGTGCATGGCAGAATAAAAAACAAACCTGCAACAAAGATACACACATTATACAGACACAGCAACCTAATCAGTTCACTTCTCCATTCAGTTTTAAGAAGATCAACCTAATGAACAGAAAAGTCATCAGTTCATCTTCGTGAATGAGCCAGAAGCCAGGTACGATAACGTTGATTCCTCTTGCTTACTTCCCACATTTGACTGTCCCCACTAAAGTCTGTGGAGTTAATTTCCTTAATCCACTGTTGCTATCATTCTTCCCCCCACCGCCCCACCAGGACCAATGCAATCATTTCCCAGGCCATCCTTCTATTTTTTGTAGTTTCTCTCCTACAATATATTTCCTAAGCTGCAAGCAGAGCAATCCCCCCTAAAATACAAACCCTGCCCCACACATGGTCCTGCATAACTCGCCTTTGTTCCCCTCTTCAGCCACTTCCCCTCTCTTCACACCCTGCCCTCTTGCTGGACAATCTACTCGCAGTTTCTTGAATCTGCAATACTCTCCTCTTTGTTGCTCTGTGTATGTTGCTATTTCCACTGCAGACACCTCCTGTTGGTTAACACCTTTCAGACCTCAAGACTCAGTCAAGATGTAACTTCCAGAAAGACTTGCCTCAGCCTACTACTAGTTTGGATCAGTAACACTTCTCGGGTTTTCTCTTTTCTCACAGCTCTCTGTGAGCACCTGATCATAATACTTATCACATAGGATTGTAGCTATCTGTTTCCTTGTTGGTCCCTACCACTAAATAGGGAGACCGTTGAGGGTAGGGACTGTGTTTTAGTCTCCCTTGAATTCTCAGAGCCTGGAACACAGTAGGAGCTTAATTGAAGTTTGCCAAATAAATGACTGAAAGTCTTTCTTTGGCAGAGATTCTCATGCTCAAATTTGTATAGCTGTACTATTCTTGGCCTAAGTGGTAATCTTACCAGCTCAAATGGGAAAGGGAGGGGAAGGGTAGGAAGGAAGGGGTAACAAAAGATTGGCTAGAGCCACTGCTATTGTTATACAACTTCTGTTACATGAACTATTTTCTAAGACAGAGTAGAAGAGGCCCTCATAAGGGAAATCACATCAATAAAAAAATTTTAGGCTGGGCACGGTGGCTCACGTCTGTAATCCTAGAGCTTTGGGAGGCTGGGGTGGGAAGATTGCTTGAGGTCAGGAGTTCAAGGCTGCAGTGAGACATAAGCATGCCACTGCACTCCAGCCTGGGTGACAGAATGATACCCTGTCTTTAAAAAAACAACTAAATAAAAATAAAAATAAAAAAAAAGAACCTCAGGTTTCAGATCAACAATCTAGAATCCCAGTACTGACCAGGTCCTTTGGCTCCTCCTTGTAAAATGCGACCCAATCTAAAGATGATGGCTCTTTCATATTCTTTTATAATCTAGAATAAAAACATGAATGATAATTTAACATGAAGAATACAAATATTTGCATGCATGCTTCTTAAATATATATTTGTGCTCTAAACAGATCAGATGGCTCATCTTTTTTCTTTAGATCCAGATCATATCTATAAATCATATGTTCAATGTTTACCTTCTCAAAGCATATTTATTATATTCTTACTGATTACAAAAGCAACAGATATTCACTGTATAAATTTAGGAAGGACAGGATAGTATACAGAAACAAATCCATAACCTCACTCCTCAGCTGTTAACATTGTTATTCAGTTACTCATGCAGGCCAGGTACGGTGGCTCATGCCTGTAATATCAGCATTCTGGGAAACCCAGATGGGCAGATCACAAAGGTTAGCAGTTCAAGACCAGCCTGGCCAACATGGTGAAACCCCATTTCTACTAAAAATACAAAAATTATCTGGGTATGGTGGCGGGCACCTGCAATCCCAGCTACTCGGGAGGCTGAGGCAGGAGAATCACTTGAACCTGGAAGGTGGTGGTTGCAGTGAGCTGAGATTGTACCACTGCACTCCAGCCTGGGCAACAGGGTGACTCCGTCTCAAAAAAAAGAAAAATAATCATCATCATCATCATCATCATCATCATCCCAGCTACACGGGAGGCTGAGGCAGGAGAATCACTTGAACCCGGGAGGCAGAGAGGTTGCAGTGAGCTGAGATCGCGCCACTGTACTCCAGCCTGGGCGACAGAGCGAGACTCTGTCTCAAAAAAAAAAAAAAATTACTCATGCACTGTTAATTCAGAAAATAAAAAGCTGAAGTCTTCACAGTTTTTCTTCTGATTCCCTTAAGAATAAATTGATCCGAAAATGCTTGGAATATATTTTATCTGCTTAGAAATATGTAAATGATAGTTATAATATCAAAGTATTAACAACTTTGTAGAAAAAAATAACCAGCACTAAGGGTATTTATGACGTGCCAGGCATTGTGATAAATACATTTAGACACACTAATTCGTTTAATCCTTGCAACAGTCCTGTGAAGTAGGTACTGTTACTTTCTCCCATTTTACAGGTGAGGAAACAGCAAGGGTCATACAATCAACAGTAAAGCCAGCAGTCAAACCCCATCATCCTAACTCTGAAGAACTTGTTCTCTCAGAACCATCTCACATCCCTGGCCCCAGGAAATTTTTGATGGTGATCCTTACTTTAGCCCACGCGGAAGGGCAATGGCTGAAACAAGTTTTAAGTTTCCATCGTAATAGGTGAGTAAGAGAAATTTTCCAAAGGAAGGATGAAGAAATAAGAATTATAAGAGAGAGACAGTCTGTCTCTTTCTCACACACACACATAGGCACACACGAATAGGCTTATGGAGGTAGGAGTTGACCCCTTCCCAGAAGTGAAGGAAATGTTCTTTACCTTTATGCACATCCAGATTGAGATTGGGAAAGTTATAACTGTGAATAAGAATGAGAATGCCACCAAAATCCATCCGCAAGGTCCAAGGCCCTTACTGGGGCTGTCTGTTGAAAACAAAAAATATACAACTCTTACAACTGTTACTAGCATAATCACCACCATCTTCATCCTTACCATTTGCTGAACACCTATGTGCTTGGCACTACACCAGCTGTTTTACATGAATTTCCCCTCTAATCCTCATATAGCCCTGAAGTGTAGGTACTACTTTCCTTTATCTATGTAATGCCATAACACAAGTATATTTCCACATTACTCACTACTTTATTCAGCAAACATTTATTAAGCATCTACTATTTATTAGGCCCTCTGCTTTGTACTGAAGTGATAACAATAAGTAAGACCCAATCCCAGCTTTCAGGGTTAAAGTTTAGTGGGAAAGTCAGACAAACACATAATTATAATATTAGGTGGTAAGTACAGATATAGAGTATCTGTTCAGAATATTTTGAAGACACATAATGAGTTAACTCATGCAGTTAGGATGGAGGTGAGAATGGAATGGGGTGGGGAGGTGATGGTGGCTGTCAGAGAGTTTCTTGCAGGATGTAATGGTAAGAAAATATCAATGAAAAGAAAGTGGAGGCTGGGCGAGGTGGCTCACGCCTGTAATCCCAGCACTTTGGGAGGCCGAGAGGGGTGGATCACTTGAGGTCAAGAGTTTGAGACCAGCCTGATCAACATGATAAAACCCCATCTCTACTAAAAATACAAAAATTAGCTAGGCGTTGTGGCGAGTGCCTGTAATCCCAGCTACTGGGAAGGCTGAGGCCAGAGAATTGCATGAACCCAGGAGGTGGAGGTTGCAGCGAGCCGAGATTGCACCACTGCATTCCAGCTTGGGCAACAGAGGGAGAGTCTGTCAAAAAAAAAAAAAAAGAAAAAGAAAAGAGAGAGAAAGAATGAAAGAGAGAAAGCAAAGACAAGCAAAGCAAAGCAAAGAAAAGAAGAAAAGAAAAGGGAAAGAGGGAAAAGGCATTAGAGCATTTTAGCTAGGAGTACAATATGATTAAAGGTGAAAACCATATGGTATGAGTATAAAGTTGTTTAGAGCCTCTTTTTAAAAATTACACCTGTAAAATATTTCCTTAGGTTTATGCAGCATCATTTATTGCCCACTTCCTGATTGTACAGATTGATTTCTTAGTGCTATAAACAGTGTTGTAGTGAACATCTTTGTACATAGTTTTCCTCTCACATTTCTAATTGCTTCCTGTTCCTGTAATATGAAACAGCTTTTCCGTCTGATTACAAAGGTAATGTTGCAAGAAATTCACAGAGTATAACAAAGGAGAGAAAAATTACTTTAAATTCAGAGGCATTTTGGTATATTCTTTGAAAACTTTCCTTGTGTACACACCATATTTTTAAATTATTTATTTATTTATTTATTCATTTATTTTTGAGACAGTCTCGCTCTGTTGCCCAGGCTGGAGTGCAGTAGCACAATCTCACCTCACTGCAACCTCCACCTCCCGAGTTCATGTCCACCTCCACCTCCCGAGTCTCCTGTCTCAGTCTCCTGTGTAGCTGGGATTACAGCCACCCGCCACCACGCCCAGCTACTTTTTGTATTTAGTAGAGACGGGGTTTCACCACATTGGCCACGCTGGTCTCGAACTCCTGACATCAAATGATCTGCCCACCATGGCCTTCCAAAGTGCTGGGATTACAGGCATAAGCCACTGCGCCCGGCCTTAAATGATATTTTTTAAAATAAATAAATAAACAAATTGTGTAACCTATTTTTCTCCCCTGTAGCTATTTCTCTTTCACCTTCTTTTTTGGCCTTCGTGGCTACGCATTTGTGTTTTTGAAGTTACACTTGCATAAAGTTTAAAAAATCAAACCATTCTATAAGATTAGTACAAAAAAGGGCATTCCCATGCTTACCTCTTCCAATTTCCTCCTCCTCAAAAACATTTGCTACTTTGACCATTTTGATATCTACCTCCATGTTTCTAAATAATATGCTTTGCGGCCGGGTGCAGTGGCTCACGCCTGTAATCCCAGTACTTCGGAAGGCTGAGAAGGGAGGATCCCTTGAGCCCAGGAGTTTAAGACTAGCCTGGGCAACATAGGGAGATTCTTTCTCTACTTTAGAAAATAATAATAATAATAATAATATGCTTCTGCCAGGCATGGTGGCTCACACCTGTAATCCCAGCACTTTGGGAGACCGAGATAGGAGGATTGCTTGAGCTCAGGAGTTTGAGACCATTATGGGCAACCTAGTGAGACTCCCATCTCTACTTGAAAGTTTTAAAAAAAATTAGCTTGGTGTGGTGGCACACACCTGTAGTCCCAGCTACTGAGGAGACTGAAATAGGGGGACTGTTTGAGTCTGGGAGGTCATGGCTACAGTGAGCTGTGATGCACCCCAGCCTGGAAAACAAAACGAGGAAAGGGAGGGGAGAGGAGGGGAGGGGAGGGGAGGGATGGAGGGAGGGAGGAAGGAAGGAAGGAAGGCAGGAAGGAAGACAGGAAGGAAGGAAGGAAATGCTTGTTTTGTTACTTCTTGCTTTTTCAGTTTTGAGGACTATTAACTTTCTACTACAGAAAAGGATTTAGTTCTCTTTCCTCCCTCTTACCCCCACCACATACTTATACCGATGTTTCCAATATAATTACATCATAACTTCATTTAGATCAACATGAGATTTTATATTACGAATTTATAAATGCAATTCAAAGCTAAGCCAAGGTGTGAGGTATCACTAGTTTTCTCTTCCTGTACCATTTTTGTTTTTTCTGGAGTTACTGTCTTATTTTTTCCCTTTGTTCAGTTTTCAATGTACTTATTGATCCAACCTTAAATCAGTTGCCTAAATTTCCTCTCAAAGGGGTCAGGTATACTATCAATTGTATCTTCTGAAAGAATTCTCTCTCAGGGCCTTGCGTGGACTTCCCTCATCTGGTGTGCACGGCTATCATTCTGCAATTGCTTTCACCATCATCCTGGGAACTCCCATCACCCCATACGTTGTGTTCCTATTTTCTGTATCCAGTGTCGTCCTCATTTTTAGTTTGCTTTTCCTTTCTGTAGAGGACATAGGGACTGAGAAAGCCAAGGGATATAACAGGTTTTCTTATCAACCACTTGGAAGGCTTCTGCTGCATTTTCAGGAGCTATTTTAATGACAGAGGGGAGAAAAGGTATGCCAGGCACATGTTACTGCTCAGAAGAAAGGGCAAAATGGCAGTAAGATGGGGCTTGGAATAAATCGGAGGCGAAGAAATAAGCAGAGTGTTCAGGCTGGGAACATGGGAGAGGAGAAACACATGTTGGCACCCAGGTCAAGTGCTCTAAAACATAGGATGAAAAATCAGAAATATAGTGAGTACTTGGGTTGTATGTGACTTTGTAATTTTCTGATCCTGTGTCATAGTGTGAGGTAAATGTTTTCATGTATACTTAAATAAAATGATCTAAAGTAATCCTGGAGGTTTCTAAGTTATAATTTAGGGGGTACACACACACTCATCGAGAGAATATTCAAAGCAGAGCCATAGTACTGTTTGTGAAGAAAGCTTTATGTAGTACTACCATAACTGATCATAACAACAGCGGCTGTTTTGAGGGGTTTTCTACATCCCAGGCAGTTTTTAAAGTTACTTTAGACATGTATCTCATTTAACTATTACGACAGCCTGTGAGGGCATTTTTAACTCCCTTTTACAAATGAGTTAACTAAAGCAACATTTAACTTTCCCGAAGTCACACAACGGAGGACCTGGGACTCAAATATGGGTCATCTTACTCCAAAGCCCGTGTTCTAAATTTAACCCTGAATTAAAAAATCCTCATTAAGGATGTTTTCATGGTTGAAGCACTTTCTCAAGATGGTATCCAAACCGGGAAAGCATGGCTGGAGTTCTGAGAATGAAATATGATATTTTTACAGAGGAAGTCCTCTTCATGCCAGCCATGCCTATTTATAGCAAAAGACAGTTTCAAGGCTCTGTCACAGACATATGTCTAGGTTTCCAGGGTGAAATATATTCCAAACAAGGACAGATTGACCACAAATACTATTTATCTGACACCATTTGGTGCCTTTTCAAATACTGTTCAAGTTTCCCATAACATACTAGAGTAAAAACTCCCTGTGGGCAGGGATGTTGCTTATTCACTTTTATATTCTCAATGTCTAGCACACTATCCTGCATAGAGTGATATAAAATAAAATACTTCTCAGCAAGTTTTCTAGCTAGATATGTATTTTTTCTTTCCTTTGAATCTTGATAGCATTTTTTGAAAATTATCTTATGGCACTTATATCTTGTCTAATCTTTTATTTTTTATTTATTTTCAATTGACCTTCCAAAGTGGATTTTAATCTTTTGTTATTTTTAATCTAATATTTTAATTCCTTGTGCATTTATATCCCTTATTACACTGAGATTCCCTGAGAACGAGGAGTAACTGTGTTTGAATTTCAGTTCTGATACTTCTTAGTTGCATGATCTTTACCTCTTTGAACCTTAGTTTCCTTACCGGTGAAAAGTAAAGATTAGTAGGCTGGCCTTGTAGAATACAGATAATGATTAGTAAATTTAGATGATAGTTTTCTGTAATCCTTCTATTTTACTTAAGTGTTTGTATCTTCATGAAGAAAAATGGGAAAATAGCACTTACCCTTTTTGATCAAAAGCCTCTTAAACAATTTAATTTGCCCTTTGCTTCATATCTGCCCCCAGTCTGGCTAGGCTGGGACATTCAAAGATGTTCAAGAAGTTCATTTATGAGGAGATCTACATGAGGACAAGCCAAAAAGTTCAGCCCAGTTTTTTTGTGTCAGTTCCCATTGTCACATTGTGTTTTTGAAAACCCCAGATGTGCATATGGAATTGCAAATCACCAGGAACAAGGAATTATGTACATATTTGGAAAACTGGATTTGGTCTTTCACATATCAAATGCTTGGCTAGAAATAATCAGTGTATACACTGGGAAAATGGCACTTTCATATTTTTCTAATGCCTTTAAAATGAAAGTATCCTATCTTCAGCTCTTAAAATTCTTCCCCATCTGGTTACACCT